AGTATAAAGTGATTTGGTTAGTTACGGTCATATGTCAACTTCGATGCATGTGAGTGTGTCTGTCTCTGTGTTTGTATGTGCATGCTTGTGTTCACTTATGCACGAAACCCGAAGTGATGGCTCAAAGTAATTAGGACAGCAAAAAGGAACGTCTGTTCTCGGCAATCGAGGTTTGATGACACCATCTCCCCCTTTCTACAAACATGTTATAAACATCACTCCGATTGCACAAGGTCGGACACGTCTGGTTTTTTTTGATGATCCTATTTGTTTGTTTTTGGTCTCAATGCAAGAGAGAAAAAGTGAGCTAAATGACGATGTCCGTCACATGACGGACGAAAGCTTAGCACCTTTTCACCGGAATCGAACAAGATTGCCTCGGAAACAGCATCAGAATGAATGTCCCAGAAAGTCAATCGACAACTGGTCAAGACTAATCCGCCGTCGTCTTCTGGTGGAACCGACCTTCCGATCTCTCCACCCAACACTTTCACTCGAAATGGAAGTAAGCTCAACAATTATGAAACAAGAGATTCCTCGAAACCCATCTTTTCTTCGCAAATTTCATATATTTATGCTAATTATGTTATGTTAATTAGTTTTTGAAACTATCATTGTGACAGAAGCGAAGAGGAAACAGGGAAAATGAAGAAAGAAGAGGAGTAGTAGGGGAAGAATAAGAATGAAGGGTAGAATGAAAAGGAGAGGGAAAAAAAGTTGAAGGAGAAGAAGAAGAAGGAAAAGGAAAAGTAGAAGAAGGAGGAAAAGAACGAGAATAATAAGATCAACGAAATGAAGGAGAAGAATGAGAAGAAACAGGAGAAAAGTAGAACGAGAAGGATGAGAAGAACGAGGAGTAGCGGGTGAATAAAAACGAAAAGTCAGAAAATGAGGAGACGAGTGAAAGTGTTGCGTGAAGAGATTCGAAGGTCGGTTCCACCAAAAGACGACGGCAGATTCCTCGTGACCAGCTGTCGATTGGCTTTACCGAAACATTCATGCTGACGCTGTTTTCGAGGCAACCTCCTTCGATTCCGGATGTAGAGTATGTGTACCACTTTTTAGGGATTTGCCGGTGAGTTTTCTTGACTCGTTAGCTTGAATTTAGTTGTGACGATGATACCTTTCCTGCTCTGATGATGTCCGTCACATGACAAACGAAAGCTTAGCACCTTTTCACCGGAATTGAACGAGATTGCCTCGGCAACAGCGTCAGCATGATTGTTCCAGTAAAGCCAATCGACAGCTGGTCTTCTGGTGGAACCGACCTTCGAATCACTTCACCCAACACTTCCACTCGAAATGGAAGTAAGCTCAACAAATATGTCTTTCTTTTCACAAGTTTTCTTTTTCATATCTTCCCGTAGATATGTCAGACCACCTCTACCTGCCTGCAAGAGCCATTCTCTGCTTTTAGCGATGGTTTCAGCCCCCATTTGCAGGTCCTTCAAGGACTACAGATAAGAATGGAGGATCCTCCTATCAAGCACATGTCTACACCTTCTTTATCGTTTATAAGTAGGTTGCAATCGGGCTCTTCGTACTATCCTAATTAGCTTGTAAACCCAAATTTATTTAGAAG